TCACCCCAGCCCCCCGGCAGCAGGCGGAGGGGCTCGGCTTTTCTCCCCCCGGCTGCAGTCGGGGTTAGCCGAGCCGAGCCCTCCCTTTGCCCGCCCTTCCCGCGGGGTGCTTTGAAGCAGATGCACAAAGTCCCCCGCGCAGCTATTGCATCCCTTCCCACGGCTCTCCTGTCACTGGAGCAGCCTCTGGCTCACCCCAGGCAACCCAAAATCTCCCACCTATGCATTTCTGGGTACTGGCAATATCGTTAAAAGCATCCTCTGCAGAGCCCCGGGTTGCTCAGAAAGCCAGAGGCTGCTCCTCATCTCAGGGACAGCATCACGCTGTAGGGGACAGATCCCTAACACAGCCCAGGCAGCGTCTGAAGAGGGGGGGACAGGCTCTGCTTTGGTGACTGATGTTCCCAGGAGCTCTGATGGGCTGCACTCATCTTAGAAAGTGGCTTTTGGCATCCTGATTTGATTTTATTTTTTAAATAAGGCTTTAGCTATGCTGAGAGGAAAAAAAAAAATAGGATCAAATGAGAATCATTTACGGTGCTCTGGCCAAATTTCAAATTGGGGCTGGGTAGCTGTGACTCAGAAGCATGTTTATAACCATGCAGGAATGGAAGGGTTTTTTTCCAGGAACAAATTCATTACCTGCTGGATTAGGAAGAGACGTTTTCCCCATTTACAAAGGGGAATCCCTGCCAAGCCAAACACCTCTGCAGCAGGGAGGCAGAATCCGCGGGCTGGTGCAGCTCACCCATGGACACCCAGCATGCGGGTGGAGAAGGTCCAAGCAGCTCCAGGATGGCATCTCCAGAGGAGGGTACCACACCAGTCTCTGCCTGATGTTCACCTGTGCAGATCTTAGCAGCTGCGGTATGGGCCACGATAGCCCTGTTGGTATCTCTCCTGCGAACAAAGCCCCAGGCCAGGCACAACAGCCTCGGCTACACTGCAGAAAGTCTGCACTGCCTTGCAGTAAGGCAACTCTCACTAAAGCCAGGGCAAGTGTTTCCTTTCTGCTGTCTGCTCACTTTTTTTGGTAGCAGCCTTGCCCAAGTGAGTGCTCCCCACGCCTGCTCGCTCCAAGCTGCCTGCCTCACCGGAACGTGCCTTCCTCAGCACAAAAGACAGAGCGGAGCATCATCTTCTTGCAA